TTTGAAAAATACCGCTTCCAACCATTTTCACAGTTGACCGGCGATTTACACCGGTGTACAGATTGGTTCCAGATATTTTACGTCTTACTCGATGTAGAGGTTTGATTGATTGATTGATTGATTGAACAGTCATTTGTGCGATTAAAGAAACAGTTAAGGAATGAATCCCTAAAAAATTTCACAAAATATGTCATTGACTTGTTCAAAGCAATAATGAGCAACAACCTACGTTGACGGACAGTGTATTTGGTGAGGGCGGAGGCTTCAAACTAACACACTCTTGAATTCCTTACGTCGTTGTTTTGATGTCAAGCAAAAGGTTTGAAACGAAATTGTTCCAAACTCTCCCATATTTTATAAAGTAAGTGTGTGTGAACCACCTAAAGACAGTTTCCCAAGAAAGTTATGCAAGCTTTTTATTGAGGGAGGACTCACTCTGATTCTATCATCAGTTATGGAATCAAAGCATTAACCATTTGCTTTAACTAGTTGTATGGCAAAAACTTTGCCATACCATCAAATTCTTCCCAATTCCCAAATTTTTCTTCTTAGAGAATGTTTATGAACCACCGCATTAGACCAATTTCATAAATAATAAATAATATAATATAAAAATAATATTATCGGCGTAATAAACTTTCTGATTTTGAAAATGATATGGAGCCGAAGCAGCTACGTGAACAAATTGTGGAAGCTCCGTTTGGGCGTTGAGCTCTTTTCTATGACTAGTTTCATGCCACAAACTTTCGTATTCTATGAAAGTTAAAAGATGTGGCAGTCTTCCAATTAAGGAAGTTTTGATTTTTAACCTCTTTGGTTTTCGCTTTTGCTTTCTAAGATAACCGAGAATGCGACATCCCTTGCTGTCCAGTAATTCCGGCAAAGATTTTGCACATGTGCAAAAGCCTCGATGATGAAGACTTCTGGTCATAAGACCTGGCTGAGCCACCTGTTTTTGGACTAATGTAGCTCGGTGGATATGCTATTTGTTATTGGATGATAAATGGTGACTTTGCGAACAAGTTAACCAAAATTTGTTGAGGGTTTGTCTCTGTGGCAGCTTCAGGATGCGAATTTCTCGTTTCAGAGAATCGTTTTTTATCATTTCATGTTATTTATATTATCATAGAAATAATTTATGTTTCTTGGGTAGTCTACTTCTAATTTGCCATATTCGTGATGGCTGGCATCGCTGTTAATAAACAATTACTTTTTGAATCATAGAGCGCTTCTCGATCCCGAAAATCGTAGAGTCTAAACCAAGGTTATTTCGACGGACAACCAAAATGAAGATAAATGTTACAAGATGTTAAAGAAAACTTGGAGTAAAAACAAGTGAACTGCCTCAAGCGCGAGAAAGTGCAAATAAACAAGTGGCCTATACTTATTGTCTTTTACCTGATTGGTTTAGCGGAAGGCGTGCATTGCAAAGAATTGTAAAGCAAAGCCAATGCAATCCCAGATCTCTTCGACGCTCCTTTGAAAATTTCTTTGCTTGTAAAAATCTTATTGGAGCCTCGAATGATTTTGGTTGGTGAAAATTTTTATACCTCTTCTGCGAAAATCGCAAAAACTGTCTATGCGCACAAATAGCATTACTTGTTCATTGTAAAGTCGGAAAAGCACACGCCCTCGATTTTTGCCGATAGCCTTAAAATTCCTCCAACATCTTTTTTTTCTTTTTTCATAACTTTGAAAATTTCCTTGGCTTTTCCGCTCCTTACATCGTTATCATGGTTTTTCATATCTTGCATGTGTTTTTCATTCATTCCGGCAGCGACCTTCCTTTTGACGAGCTTTGGTTGCAGAGTTGTTTAGTTTTAAAGTTGACGTTCCGAGCGTTAGCTTTGACGAAGGGCTAAATCGCGTAACGTCAGCTTTGGCAAACTCTTTACAGTGGCCAATTTACTCATTAATTCGGCTGATAATACTAAATTATCCTGTTACACTCTACCACCGACGCAGTAGAAACTTTCCCCCTTAATCCACTTCTCCAATTGTTTTTGTTTTATTCATGGTTTCATGCTTATTCAGCCGAGCATTTGCTACCGGTTTTTTTGTCCCTTTTTTTATCACAGAAAAGCACGACGTGATTTCGTCCGTTGTGTACGTTTCAAGGAATGGTCTATTGTTGTTTTGGCTCAACTTCTCTCATTAAGTATTAAACAATAGTCCTTTTGTTATTTGTAGCGCTAAGGAATTTTGGCCGAAGCGACGCGAAAAAGTTCGTGACTAATCGGAAAAAATTGTCGGTGTATTTTTAACCTCTCCCTTCGTTCTTTGTTTTTTTATCGGACAGTTTGTTATCGTGCTCGTGATAAACAAATCGGACTTCCGCTGCGCGGTCGTCCGATTTTGTTATCACTCGTATGATTACAGACCGAATTGGACTCCACTCAGTCCTATTACCATTACTTATTATGCACACAAAGAATTAGGTCTGACTTGCGTAGCGCGCGCGAGATATGAACTGCTCCCGTGTACGTGTGCCCCGGGAAACGTTTTCTTTGCCGTATTTATTTAGTTACATATAGTTTTGCCTCCCTTTTGGCAATACCCGAGGTCCCTTGTCATTTAGTCAAATGACTACAATCTTTATTCCTCAGTGATGAAATTACAAAATCACTAAATAGCAGGAACGCTACTGCTTCTTTTACCATCATAGCCCCTTATTTTGGTCGGCTCCGTAGCCTTAGCCATGCTGGAAGTAGGGTTTTCTCGGTTACTGAAATGAAATGTATGCCCTAATGCTAGGGTTATGCTGTTATGCTAGGGTCTCATGCTATGGGTGCTGAAGTGAAATATATTAACGAACAATTCTCTTAGTACGTTCTTTTTCTAATAAATTCAGACAGAGGTAGTTAGCTAGGATGTCTCCTTGGCGACGGTCTCAGTTGAGATTAACCGCCAATGGTCTTACAGCCAAGGAATTGAACATCGACCATCAGAAAATGTAAAATTTCTTTAATCAACCATTCACTAAGGTCAGCCAATGTTAGCCATCAAATCTATTTCATTGTATACTCATTAGAGGAAGAACTGATAGAAATAATAGGTTTGATGTTAACGCCGAGTTTATTTGTAACGTATTCAAATGAATGCTATATCCGCCGCTTACAAAGTGCTCCGCTCCGGAGAAACAGGCAAAGAACGTAACTGCTTGAGCAAATTTTTTTGTGGTCTCGAAGACCGCGACCTTTTAGAAAAAGGCTCGAGTTAACGTTGAGCACATTCTTTTTTGGGATAATTAAAATTTATAGGATTTCCTTTGGCTTATAGTAATTTGACCCGCGACACACCTTAATTTAGAGTAAGCAAGACCACCCTTAAATTTAAATCACTCGACACTAATTTGCTGTCACTAATGGAGAGCCAATTTCATTACTTCTGGTTTTCAGCTTGCTCACTGGACTATAGCACCTAGATATTTCGTCTAGGAGAACTATAAGGTAGTCATTATCCCGAGATCTTTATATATTTGCAGAAAAACTCATTTGTGTATTTCTTGTCATTCTCCTTCGTTGTATTGATACTTTGATAATTCCAGTCATCAGCAATGCAACAATCTCTCTATTTTCCCCTTGGGAAGGAGGCGTCAAGTGAGCTAATGACCGGATGATCTTTTCCGCCGTTGTACATTGTCCTTTTTAAACACAGGAACTTATTTTGAGCGGCAGAGGAAGTTTTGACACTTTTCTCAACTTCACCACTCCCGATGTTGGTAGTTCACGTCATCGGCGACGCCCGCGTTAATCTGGGCCTTGCGTTAGTATCATGGAAAAGTAAATTCTTCTATTTTGGGGTCGTATTGTCTCATTCTTAAAGCAGGGATAGTGAGTGTGATAGGAAAAGTCTCACGTATAGGCTTTTTGAAAGGGTTTTTTGGATGCTTTCGTTTTACAGTGATACTGTTGTTGTAATGACGTTTTAAATATGTAATACTGTGGTTTGATCATCCGGGTGAGTGTATTCCTGAAAAGAACTGTTGTCGGTAGTGGTGACTGACGATTTGACAACCTAAGCGGAAGTTATCATCAGCGTCAAGTCTTATTATCATCACTTGACTCTGATGATGACTTCCGCTCAGGTTGTCGAAACGTCAGTCACTATTACCGAAAACAGTTCTTCTGGCTCAGGACTACACTCACCCAGACGATCAAACTACACTATTACATGTTACCCTCGGGTTGAAACCATTTACTGTTTTAAATATAACAAGCGCTTCTTCTGAAAAGTAGTTTTCAAGTTGGAACTGAAAAACTAATTCGTAAGAGCAATTTAAAATCAATGTATCTTTGGGTAGGAAAACTCTAGACACCATCAGTTTCTTTGTTGATCCTCCACACCCCAAAATCAGTACGCAAGCTCTCCCTACTGTTCTTTATACATTTCTAATGTTAGTTACAAGTCTTTCAAGAAAAATTTGTTTAGCATTGATGTTTGATTTAGGGTTTTAAGGGTCAACTTCATCTGCCAACGAGTTCCGATATCGATAAAATGATTGTCAATGTCGGATGTTACGAGAAGATGCATTTTCCCAAATTGCCATCAAATTTGATCGTTTTTGAGATTTTTTTTTGCGTGAAAAAAAAGTATATTAGCGTATAGAGTGGCATGTTGCTCGCACCAATCAGATCGCCGCATTAGGGTATGTATCTCGTACCAATCAGATTGCCGCATTAAGGTATATTTTTTTCGGCACTCAACATCTAAGCGTGAACACAACAATTAAGCTGATTTCATAGTTGTAATATGTTCACAAAGTTAAAAAAGTAAGATAAAAATGTTCGAATCTAATACTTTAACGACGGAAGAAGGGGGCTCTTATTCGAGAGGAAGCCTGTTTAAAATTCAAGTCAACTAAACTGGCGTTTATTCGAGGGAGGTGCTTATTCCATGAATTACAGTAGGTTTTTTCCGCTGTGAGATGTCTGCAGTCAGGTCCAGGAAAAGAATATAACTCTTTGCATACTTATTGACCTTGCTGTGAAAGTAGAAGTTGCGCATGTTAAGTTACCAGTGTAAGTCAAAAACTTACGGAGTACTCTTCCCAACATTTAACATAACTATTCAGCTCTTCTTTAATACGGTATGTCAACTCTTACGTGTTTAGTTTAAACTAAAAAAAACTGAAATAACTTTATTGTTTGCTGTTGCGGAGTTTTCTTCGGTCGCTTTTGTCGTTGGCCATGGAACTTTATGGTAGGAAACAAAAACCATCACGCAGTAACTGTAATTAGAAGCATCTTTCGGTCAAACTGTAACAAACTTACAACTGTTTGGTAGATTATGAACAAGAATACAACTTTCCCCAATTTTCAAATGACTGGATCAACACATTTAGTCGTGGATAACTGGCAGTTTCCAACTCTCTCAAGTTTCCAACGCTTAAAATACGGTAAGGTAGAAACTTGGCGATCTTCATGGTCTACGCTATGAAAAAACACAACGATTCATAATGAAATCCAGTGAATGAAAATTTTTGCATCTGTACGTCAGATGCCGCTTAAAAACTTGGTCCGAAACTCGTGATTCAAGCAAATATGTGTCAAATACAATAAGGATATGTTACAGCTTGGGTTCTGGGAAGATAGGGATAAAAACTTTTGTTTTGATGAGACGAGTCCATGTGAATCCAAGATGGCGGACCGAAGGGCGTGTTCTGTCCAAGGTAGCGCGGCTGGTCAGGGAAGGCACTGACTCTTCGTTCCCATACATCGTGTTGATAGTCTAGAATGCTTGGATGATCAAATCCCTGCCCTATACTTCCTGTAAATGTAAAGCGGGAAAAATTGAGGTTAAATTTTTTATTTCCTTTAACCTAACGAAAAAAAAAAAAAAAGGGAGATGTGGTGGTCGACTGAAGTGAGGGAGAGAAAATAAGATTTAGCGACTCATGTAAGTCGCTTCTGGTCTGCTAAGTGCCCGCATTGTCTAGAATGTAAGGTGATACATTCAAAATCATTTGAACTAAGGGTAAGAGGACTAGGACATGTTGTCTTGCAAGAAAACGTAAATCTTGATGTAACACCAACAAAAACATGTATGGTCGTCGGTGTGGAAAACTAGTATTTAATTCCTGCACGGTATTGGAAGGATTTAAAATGGAAAAGAGGAGAAAACCGCTGAGGACTTAAGCGCTCCCAAGTAACCTTTTTTTCGTATTAAGGGTGATTTTGAAAAGCTTTTCAAGTCGTTTTCACGCGGTATTTCGCGACGAAAATTTTTGCTAAAAGACACAAATTTGAAATTGATAATTTGTAGACAAAGAAGTTAGATTAAAACTAAACAGCAACAATTAACAAGGGTAATTAAAGAAAATAATGAACTTAAAACGATGTTCTAATGTTTACAAAGTCATGCACACATCGGCACATGGCCCCTTCATGGGGATTCTACGTCAGTTTTGTTTAACTCTGACATGTTTGTTTATCGGTGCAAATCTGGCTCGAGAGTGAAAAGATTGAATAAAAGAAGTTTATTCCGTTCTTGCTGCATACGTTCGTTTTGTTGTTGTTAGTCTTTGAATAAATCTACAATCCGCGGCCAAGTTTCGTAAACTAGGTGAAGTTTAGTATCAAAATGTACGATAATGTACCTTTTGAGGGTTTCGTATGACGCAACCAAATCAGATCTACTAGATTTGTTATTAATACTTTTTGGATAGATACTACCACAAAGTTTGACTCCGTGGTTATATAAAATATTTAATTTTTGTTAAGCTTCATTATAATAGTAGCTACGTCCCTATAAATAGTACTTAATAGTGTCAAACTGGAGTAAATATTCTTAGCGCGGTGGTCTGCCTGTTCTTGCGTGTCTGGATGTAAGAATGTTTTCTGCTGTACTTACTGTAAACTACCCCGGGGAACTGTCTGAAAAGGAGTTAATTAAATTACTTTTTTGCAGTTTAGAAAATTACGCCTTATTGCCTTCATACCTTGCAATCTTGATTTGACGCCAGCAAGCATCTGATGACCAAACCTTTCGTCGTTTCGAACTCTGTTTTCATTCCTCAACAATCTGTCTATGGAGAACCTGTCAAGATCGATATTTCCCTTGCCCTGTGAATATACTTCTGGGTTGGACTTAATATGGGGGTTGTTATCAACGCCAGATCTTAACGTCTTGCCGATAGCGTCTCGTGCATGTACTTTGCTTTCGCGTCCGTCTAAGTAAGCCTTCTCTTTTACTTTTGGTTGACGCTTTCTTCTTCTTCTGAAATTGCCATCTTCGCTGACATATTCTTCTAACGAATCAAGCAGCACTGTCCAGTAATTATCCTTTCCCCAAGGCCGCGACGGATCCTTCAAAATTTTTACAAAGCACTTATTAAACGACAGATTATGTCGTACCGAGTTCTTCCAGCCCCGGTAAGATCCGCGGAAAAACTCGTAGTTCTCCACCAAGTGCTCGTTGATCTCAGTGAGCGTTAACTTCTTTCTCGGTGAGCTGAGGATCGCTGTTGTTATCAGTGCAATATACGAGTGGGGGGGCTTGGGTTGATCAGCTCTACGGCCGGCCTTTCTGGTCTTTACCAAACTGTCGGACATCATTTCTAAACTGTTGTTTGTTTTGAGATTAACGCTAATGCTTCTCAAGGAGCTCTTTGCACGAAACTGTTCGCGTTATGTGATATAACTAAGCGGATCACCTCCAAGTCACTGAGTTGTCTATAGCGACTGTTACAATTCACAAGTGATGCTTTTATGTACTTGTTATTGCACAAACACAGGAAACTGTCAAACGAAAGCCAGCACACCACCCACAAAGTTTAATTAAAAACACGCTGAGTTTACGCACTCCGCGACTTTGAAGAAATACCGTGAGTGTCTGATGAAACTCGACACCATAAGCTATTTAATTCAACCGCTATCGTAATGATACCCTCTCAAATTTTTCTGATCCTTTTTTAAAGTTTTCATTGTTCATGACACAGAATTATTTAAGCATGCATAAGATCAGTTTGTTCATGTAAATTCGCTTGCCTTTCAAACTGGTTACAACTGTTCGTGAAATTATCTCGATGGTTATAAATCATCAAATCATTTGTAATTTAGATTAAAAACGGCGAGAAGGCTTTCATAAGTAATTTTTAAAACAATTAACCTCTGATCCTCAACAAAGGATTTCAATTCCTTCCTTTTCTTTCTATTTTATTAGCAAAGTATTAGATCATTACGATAAAGACAAACTGTTATACCTAATCAAGTCCCAAATCCTTGAAACCCAATTCAAATATCCGAAGTAAACAGGGACACTGTGTTTAAGGGAATGTTTTTCTCTGTAGCGTGGAGGAAAATCAGGCTCCCTTCCTGTCTTCTTAATTGCTTTTTTCAAAAGGAATCGATTAACGTTATCGAGTTATCGCAAACCATATCCCCCACGCCTTAAACAATTAATATTCCTCAGAACTACCTGATACAAGAGACTGGGAAAAGATTTCATTCCGAACGGAAGTCCTATTTTTAAATGTTAGTGAGAATAAGCTCTGTTGATTACTCTTTTGAAAAGTAGATCCTCATTATCACTTTTGATTTGAATGTAACGCTACCTTGCACAGTTATAACACTTTGTTTATTTAAATTTCTTAAAGAGTGCCTTTAAAAACATTGCCAGTTCACTCCGTTCCTTCTTCCATAAAAAAATTCACCTTTTTCTGTCCACATCCTTAATATTTCCGATGACAAGCCTTTGAAATACCGGCTTATGGTTTAGCAATTGTGCGCGATCGTTTTCTAGGGATCATTTCCGCAGATATCCGTGATATTCAGTTTTTAATGGGAAGAGATTTTAGTACAATAGATCAGCTTAGAATCTGTATGGTAGTCATATGCTGAATGAGGGTTTTTTTTCAAAACAATAACACCCGATTAGAGATTCAATTGATCTTCTCTAGGGTAGCGTTAATTATTTATAACAACATGTCATTTGTTAACGTAACAACTAAAAGGGGCTTAGACTTTTAGAAGGATGTGTAGCAGTTTCATGCAACCCTGACCCCAACTCCTTATCTCGTCCTGGCACTGGTACTTGGTGAGACAACGGAGCTGGAAAGGACTTCATTAATTTATGGATGATCCTAAGTACACAATAAAAGAAAAACGTGTGCTTCGGAAACCGGGAATACCTAAAGTCCTCAAAGTTCGATCCTTATCGCCCTGTCCAATTTTATCATTTATTTACAAGAATTAGTTCTACAGTCGGAACCTGTCAAATGCAACAACTCAAATGCAAAAGCTTTAAACAAATCCATGCCCACTCTTGCTTGTAATTCTGTTAGTACCCGAGTCTTACGAAAACACGGTACAACACTTGTTATGCATGTAGACAACCTCTAGTTCATTGTTCAGTAAATCTCGCATACAACCAGAAGAAAAAGGGCAACGTAAGCTTACCAGTCTATCTATCATTACCACACATACATTAGATATCAGTCGGAACAGTGCCAGCTCCAACATTTCAGATGGTTTATCAGCTGCCAAATTAAGATATTTTGTTTACCACATTTTACTCCAAAACCAGAACAACTGCGGAAACAAAAAATGATTTTCTTCCAGAAAATTGGAAACTTGACAATATTATTTTGATAGCGACAAAATATTTTGCGTTTCCTCCCTCCGGGATTTAACGATCTTGTACAGCGTAGATTTTGAATTTCAAGATTTTCTAGAATTTATAGTCTGTAAGCAGTCCAATTTTCGCCTAATCAGGAAGGGGTGAACGCGCTTCTATATATTCATGGAATTTAAGGATAAAAACGCATAACGACCTTCCATTAAAACTGCAGTCGGAAAGGATTTATGAATTAATAGTAAGTAGGTGGTCCGATAGGTGAGGTTTAATGAACTGGATTATTTATTGCATCTGAAAAAAATAAGAAAATAGAAAAAAAAACGCAGCTATACACAGCATCTTTGTCAAAGAGTAATCAAATTCTGAAGCATTGTCTCTTGCACGAATCTCTTTCGGAGCAGTTGTTTACAGAAAGATTTTTCAGGCGATAATGCGTTTAAAACTAACTAGACACCTCGTTTCACATACCAAATAAAAAATTAACTGTAAACTTGGAAATTAAATCGTTATTTTCCTTCAGCAAACCACAAAGGAAATCGAGGGTTGGCAATGTCGTAAACATTTGCCGATTCAACGAATGGATATTCCTTCGAGGAAATGGCTCGGTACCTGCCTTTCCTTGATCTTAAACGATTATGTATTTTTAATCTCCAAATTGTAATCTACACAGTACATACGGAGAAACTGTGTGGATCGTAAATTGTACCCGGAAAACTTATTTGAAGCTGGAGAGGGTTTTATGTGGAATAATCCTTGTCAATGTAATAACAAATAGCAAATACATACTTCCATTTTGTCTTGGAGAACTCATAGATCACAAAAAAAACATTTTTCTGTTAACGCAGCAGAACATTAAGAAAAAAAGAAACGCAATTTTTAACTTGTATCTGTTGAGCTGCACAGAGGGAGCTACATGAGGGAAAATTCTAAAGATAGTTCAAATGAATACAAACACCTTTTATTTTCTGCTGGACCAAGGATGGAAGAAAATCCCCCAAATCCGCAAACATTAAAACCCGCAAAATTCCATGTCATGTGGTAATTCATCTTCCCCGCCCATGTTCATACAATTTCACGGCCTTAGTTTTAAACGATTTTCTCAATACTCCGTTCAGTAGTTGTTATGTCTCCCTCACTTAAAAATCCAACTCAATGCATGAGAACGCACTTCATGGTTTGAGGGTGTTTTCTGATGTTAGGCTTGGTCTGCCTTTCGTCTGACTGAGTAATATAGTTTCAGTTGCGGTATCCGTACGTGATACAATCAAACAAAAAATTGCGACCCGTTTTTATTTTTCTCTTCTTTTTTATGCGGAAATGGCTTAGATAGAGGAAAAGGTTCCATTCCTGCCTTCTCCTTAGTCCTGTTGTAAGTTTTAAGCTAATGGAATCGCTCGAAGTGTATTTTACATAGTCACCAGTCAAAGGGTAATCCAGTTTGAATTACTTTATGCCAATTTGAAGGTGATAACGTCATGTTTGTTAAATTTATAACAAATATTTATACGCAATGATTACTAAAAGATTGCTGACTGTGCAACGCAAGATGACAATGACACTGGTTCTGTGATTCAAAGAATATCCCTGAGCTGCATGCCTTCCCAAAGGTAACTAATAGGGTAATAATCTATGAGATTAACACCTCGATCCAAGGGGTAAAATTTTGAAAGGAAATTATTAATGAACTGATAATTACATAAAACGTTTATCGTTCTCCAAAGGTGTCAAACCTAATTACCTCCAGGTGTAAATATTATAAACTTCCCCTTTTACCACCAAGTAACTTAGTAGCTCAACGACTTGGTTTTCGGTGCCTTTCGTAAACTTACCACTCGAAACATGCGTGTTTTGAGCACAAGTTTAAAGTGGTCTTTGGAACAAATATGTCACTAAAACATGTCACCAAATTCGGCGTTTTTATAGACTTGATGAGCTCAATCTTTTAACTAAACTTCATCGTTTTCTTCAACGAGCAGAATTATCCTCAGGGAACAGCATAACATTAGTTTGGTTAAAAAGAAAAGAAGGGAACTAGGAATTATAAAACAAAAAGGAATAAGTATGGTTAAGAGACTGTTCATGTTTAAAGGGGAAGTGAGGCAGCTAATATTTGGGGGAGCGATATTTGGAATATTTTGAATAACCCCTCCCTCCATTATTTCAGAAAGTCGCTTGACAACAGAATTACGCAAATTAAGAATCTGTAACCGTTAAAGCGCTACAACACTTAGTCTTCCATTTGAACGTTATAGAATACAATAAAGTTATGTATTTTGACTAAATCAGGATAATCTGGTGTTTTTGTTAACTTTCCTACCACTTTTTTTTTTATCTAATTTCTTCGCCTGATTCTTTCCCTTCTCCTTCACTTTTAATGGCAGAGCCTTCCCTTTGAACTCTTCTTTCTCTTCCCTTCTCCGCCACCCGCAACTGTCCCATAAAATACGAACGGTCCCTTACGATCATAAAGATTGGCACAGGTTGCGTCGTGTAAATTTGAAAATACTAAGTCAAAGTTTCAATACGTAAAAATTGTGTCGTAATTTCTTTCACTGGAGTTGTACTTTGTTTTTGTACGTATGTAACAAAATCAGCCCCCAAAAAAGAAATGACTAAACGAGCATCTCGAAGGCAGGTCAGTCTGATATGAAAATGATCCAAGTATGATCTAATCTCACCATCGAAAATTAAATTATGAATTTTAATCAGTAATTTTCTGTAGTTTGGTCGACAGAGCTCAAGAGAAGAACCTCCGTTTGTTTTTAAAATTATCGACTTAAAAAAACTCCAGCTGTGAAGTTGATGCAAACACGATGTGAGAATCACCTGAATGACAACTGATCTCAACCCTAACAGATGTACTCATCGTGTGCTAATAATGGCGGCTTCCCCATCACATTAAAGGTTTAATGTGTAGGTGTATTTGCGAACGTTTAGTACCAGTGCGCCTTGTTATCACCCCCCCCCCCGTCCCCCTCAG